CTCGAAGATGCATCCTGTTTGATAAAGAAAACCCAATAATAATTTATATTGAGCTTCATCAAGAGAGTCTAAATAGTATTTAAACTCAAGAGAATCTTGATAATTTTCAGTATAGTGTGCCTCTAATTTGGGACCTATTTTACTGTGTTCATCAGTATTGAGCAATTTGTGAAAAAGAATTAGTAATCCTCTAGCTAGCGATTTTATAGTGTTCTCGCTGCTGAACTCATCTAAATCAGTAGATGGCCATTTGATTTCTTTTAATTGCTCATTAACTTGATGAATATTTGGGCGATTTTTTGGTTCATCATCCCAACATGCTTGATATAGTTCTACATATTTATCTGGTGTTCCATAAATTCTTTTTTCTTTCTCTTTTTTCTCTTTTGGAGTACAGTGAAAATATCCAAATTGATTGATTGGAGGCTGGCCACTAGAAATAACCCAAAATAATATACCAAGACTAAAAATATCTGAACTTTCATTCCGACGAAACTTTTCCATATCTTTTAGAAACGCAGGATCACTATAGCATAATAATCCAAGCTTAGTTCGCGAATGAATATTGTCAATAGAGAGTTTTGAATAGCCTAAGTCTGAGATTTTAATTCTTCCCTTATGAATAAGAATATTATTATGATTCTATTTAAAATGCAGGCATTAGATTTGAATTAACCTGCAATTTAAAATATCCTTTCTAAAAACTAACTTACTAAATCCCGATGAATGATGCCCTCTCCATGAATACACGCTAGCCCTTTCGCAAGTTGTTCTGCTAAAGATAATTTCTCAATCCCATCAATACGTGCAAAATTAGATCTCAAATAATCCTTAAGAGTTCCACCATCAGCATACTTTAAAACAAGTATATATTTTTGAGCGTCTAGGTCTAGTGAAATTATTTTTTTTTAGTTTTTATGATATTTTATATTAATTTATTATTTACTTTTTTTTTACCTTTACTGATTCCATAGAAACGAATTATATTTTTATGGTGAGTAATTTTAATAAGGATCTGTAACTAAAGATTATAAATGTAAGACTCACAAGAAACTAAATATTTAAGTTACAATAGGTTTTTAATATTAAATCACCTCTTTGATGAATTCCTGATAAATTTCCTCTTTAGCATTTTCGTCTTTGACATAAAGACACTTCAAAGCCACTATTCGGTCATCATTTTTCAACTCAGCTTTAAACACTTCACCAAACGCTCCATTTCCGATCGTTTTTTTATTAATGAACCTATTATACTCAAAATATTTTATTTGATTTTCTGAAATTACGTTTTCTAGCCAGGATGATGACGACATTTTCTTGGGAGTATTTTTTAAATTTCAATTACATGTACTAACGTTAAACGCAAAACACAAACTACGTATTTGATTTACACATTATCGTTATTGTTATGTACGCCAAAAAAAAAATGGAAGTGTTACATGTACATGTACGTACATCGTTCGCGGATATGGTTGGTTAGGACAAAAAGCAACCAATAAGAGTGCAAAACAAACCCGACACAAGAGCCTAAATCTGGACAATTTCACCAATACCGATACGCAGTGATGGACAAAATTACATTTAGTAGTTCACTCGAGGTCACTGTCCAACACTGCCAATACGTACACCCTTAAAATCTAACGTTGACGTTAACGTTAACGTTAACATTAAATTTAATCTTTATTACAGTAAATTTTTCTGGATTTACACTAAATTCCCCTAACCATATTCCATATCGGGATTTTATACCCAATTAGTAGTTAACCGTATAGTACAAGATGACAATAAACTATCGCTATGCTTTCATAGGATATCAATTGGATCAAAAATGATAACGATAAACTTTTTAGCTAAGAGGTACGTAAATCTAAATTTAAACCTTTCTTGATCATATTCACGGATTAAATTTTGTATCTACTTTTATTTAAGAAGTTTATTGAAGTTATTATTGATGATGTACATATAATTAAAAATTTGACAATTGGGGACAGCTGTATACTTTTTCTATTTCAAAAAATACAAAGACGAACTTTATGCTTTTACTATTATAAAAGTGTACGAATATTGAAGACCAATAAATTATGAAATAATTAAATTCGATGATCATATTAAATTTTAGATTGATATGCAGTATATTTATTTTTGTAATTGACTTACATAGTCAGTTATTAAAATGACATTCAAACTCTTTGTTGACCTCAGTACGTAGCTTCTAAAATAATATCTTTTATTTTGGTCATGAAGACTTATTCTAAGCTTTCCTTATATTAGCAAGTTTGAACTGCTCTGTCTTTCAATTTATTGAATCGATTAATCTTTCAAGAACATTATCAAATTGATTTAATACGTATTGTGATTTTACAGCATTCGTTTTAGAAAACTTCTATCGCCATCGATATCAGATATCTTCAATTCTATTTTGACAATCGATAAAATCGATACATAAACCATTATCGTTACGTATGATAAATCCTGCACATTACAATTTTCCATTAATTGTGGCATTATGACAACACTCGTATGATTTCAACAATGACAATAAATATAATATAGATACTGATAAATACATGTACATGTATTACAGAAAATTTTATATAATTGACTTATTGATAATTCTTACCGGTACCAGAATTGACAAAATTGGTTAATTTATCTTGATAGATGACAATAATTCTTTCTAAACTTACTGCAGAGCAGAGTTGTCAATTTTCTGTCCAATGAGACAAAAGCCAGTGGACAGAAAATTGTCAATTCTGCTTATTGTTTATATTAACTTTATCATTTCTAAATTGTATAAATTCGCAAGAATTAAAGTCTAATTATTTGCGTTTTATTAAAAGTAACTATTTTTACTTACTTGCTGGAAAATACTTGCTTTAGTTGGATCAAAATGCCATATTTTGTTATTGGAAAATATTTACAATAATAAATCAATTAATCAACTATTTCAAAATACTTGATGTTTCATATAATTAGCATCATCGTTTAATTAAATCAAAAAAGCTTCACGTATATAGCATAATACTATTTAGGATCAAAAATCTCGTCGGTATTCTTCCAAATTTTTATAGGCATCTCTATAAAGACAAATTATCATATAAACTCTTTTTTCTCAATCATGACCTCTAGGCAGCTTTAATGTCTTTGTGATTAATACTATTGTAAATTTCTGTATGATTTAAATGCTAAAAAAAAATTGAAAGAGAAGATTTTATGCGGATAATTTTCTGATTTCTGAAAACTCATGTCTATATAGTTTTTCTTTACCAGAATTTTTCCCTGCTGAGAAATGACGCGCCAAAAAAGATCACTATTTTTAGCTTTGGTAATTAAATGTTTTTTTCATACTGGCAGGATAGCCAAAATACTCGAAAGTTTTTACTTTATATGAGGTGTTTGTTTTCTTTAATATATCACAATATCGATATATACGTTCACAGTGAACGGAATACAAGCTTCCCCAATAGGAAATATGTGGCTAGTAACGTTAATTTATCGCTTAGGTTTGATATTTTTAATTAGTGCTTCAGGTCAAATTTTGACACCTGTTTTTTCATATTTTTCACATTTTCTTTTTTTTATTTTCTTGTAGCGAATTTGATTTGCCAGGTTGATCATTTTTATTGGTTTGAGCCACCCGGCAGGAGAAATTTACACGTTCTTATTGTGAATAGCATTACTAGCCACAAATTTTCTATTTGGGAAACTTGTATTTCTCGCGCATTTAAGTATACGCCGCCGGTTTTAGAATCCTAATCGTCGGGATTTTGTAATTGTCGGGATTTTGAACCGTCGGGATATTGAATTGTCGGGATCTTGTAATTGTTGGAATTTAAGTGTCTCGGGATTTTGTCAGTCGGGTTTATGTACTGTTGGGATTACGAATATCGAGATTTCGAATCAAACCAGCTTCAATACATGTACACTTAAGTTCTACCTCTGTGTTTTTGTGCTTTGAGCCTTTTTGTATATCAGATTGTTGATAATGGTTAGGAGTTCTTCACAAAAGTGAGCAAGCATCAATATTAGTGCTTAAAAAATTAAAAGTCAGGAGCAAAAGAATTTTTGCCCCGATTTATTAGTAAAATTTGCTACAGTAAAATTAAAGGTCTTTTTTGGCACAGTACGTATTTAGAAAAAATCAATGTTTATTAATCAGCGGAATTACATAAAATTCGGGTTCATTTATTATGTAACTTAAATTTCGCAAACACGAACAAATACAGCAATAAAATGTTCCACCAGATTGATTTTTTTGAGTTGGCATCTCAATGATTATAGTTTTAATTGATGGATCAATTTAGTCGACCAGTTTTTGGTGAATGTTAGTTTTCATTTGTTATGGCTGCTAAAATCCGAAAAGATTATCTTTAAGTGTATATAATTTATGGTAACATTGCTTTGATAACTCATTGGTCAGATTTACACCAAATTTAAAAGTAGGTACGTACATGTACATGTTACGTATATTTTATTTTTAATTCTATGAATTTTCTATCACAATTAAATTCAACAAGTACATGTATAAATGTTGTACAGAAATTCTTTATGGACAATAATTTAATTTAATAATTCCCAAATTTAGTCGTTAATGTATATCAATACGTACTTCGGGGTCAAAATCCATTGCATGTATCTTGTGTGTGACATTAATGTTAAATTGTAAAGAACATCTATGAAGAAAATTTTTTGGCACAATACGTATCGGTACGAATTCATTTATCGCTATTGTTACATGTACGTAGTGTGCATGTAATGTGTATGCATAAAATAGTATTTCATTTATTTATCATAAATGGATGAAATTTTGGAATATAAAAAGGATAATTTTTTCAAAGATCCTAACGCCAAAAACGCATTCTCTCGTATTTGAATTTCATCTTTCACATTAAACATAATAAAATGAGTCAACCACAAGCTCAACAACAACAACATCATCAACAACAACCACCACCAAAACCTACCCAAGACCAAAAGCTCGAAGCCGAAAAAATCAAACTATGGACTTCAATTGTGAATTTCTGCAGGTAAATGTCCTTCATATAATCATAATAATCATTAACCATTGACTTATAATAAAACTCAAAATCAATTATAATAGAAAGGCAGTTAGTTGCTTTGAGAAACATGAATCTCTGGAACAAAAACGAGAAGAACTTGAACAAAAAAGACGAGAAGCAGAAGCTCAAGCAACGAATGAATACACTTCTAATCAAATAAATAGTACATATTAATAATATTTAGAATTTTAATTCTTTTTAAAATATAGTCTTATTGTATCATCATCATTCTCATTATCGTTTTAATATCTTTTAATTGTACGTATGTATCGTATGCTAGAGTAGCTTACGTATTTATCAGCATTAGTATTTATTGTTATTATAGCGACAGTTTACTTCATGTATCGGTATGTATACCAAAATCGATATTACACTGATCCTGCAGTCAAACTTCAAAAAACCTTTTATGCAAATATCCTGTTAAAACCGGAAAAAACAAGTCGTTCTTTCTCATTTTATTATCGAACATGTGAGAAAGGTTCTGTGGGAAAATTGTGTATTGGAGAATTAAATTAGACTCTCGGTCGGGGAATTGAACCCCGGTCTCCCGCGTGACAGGCGGGGATACTAACCACTATACTAACCGAGATTTGCATTATAATTTTAGTTATTTTTATATATAACTATGCAATTTAAATTTTGTAAACAGAATGCTTTGTAATCATGACGTATGTAATGATTGCATCAATTTTAGCGTTACGGTACGTATACATGTACAAATACGAATTACATGTATGTAGAACATGTATTTACTTTTTTCCCTAAAAAATGTTTTCAAAACTCTCTCGCAATGGCATCGGAATGTACAGAATGCACTTTAGATCTGCAGAAAATGAACGAGCCCTCTATAAAGCACTTCAGAAACAACCGGAAAAACAACTCGTCATTAATGTGATTGATACTTCTACGAATTATGGAGATGGCGGAAGTGAACGGTTAATTGGAAAAGTGAGTGAAAATACTATTTATATACATTATCGTTATTAATTATTGTCACCACATCAATTTTAAAATAGGTACTAGAACATCCACAAAAGGACACATTGACACGCTCAGAAATTTACATAATGTCAAAGTTTGGCTATATTCAAGGGACAAATATGGAATTATATCATCAAGGAGAATTCAAAACTATCCCAGATGAACAGATCGTGAAATATCATCCAAATTGTTTTCACTGTATTCATCCGGAATTTATGAGGTTCGATATAAAGCAATCGACTCATTAACGTTATCGCTATCGTTATGTTTATGTACTAATTGAAATCGTATTTTATCAAGAGATCAACTTGATCGTAGTTTGAGACGAATAAAGACGAATCATTTAAATCTTTTATTCATTCATAATCCCGAATATTATCTACTTCATGAAGTAAAAAATGGAGCTAGTCGAAATGTAATTGAAGGTAGGTGAATGAATATTTCTTTTCCATAAAAAGAACCTCAAAAGTAAACTTGATTTTATTCTCAGCCGCACAAAATGAACTGCTTCATCGAATTAGCGAGACATTTGAAGCACTGGAAGAGGAAATTACTAAAGGAAGAATTTGTGCCTATGGAATAAGTTCAAATAGCTTTTCAGTTAAACGAGAAGATAAGCATTTTCTTCCGTATGAAAATTTAATTGAAAGTGCAAAAAAAGCAGCAAAAAAGGTTCGCGGTGTTAACGATCATGGATTTGTGGGAGTTCAACTTCCTGGTAATCTACTAGAACAAGAAGGATTAAAAACTACTGCTAAATGGGCTAAGGAAAATGGTTTAAAAGTAACTAAATTTTTCCGATATAATAAAATTTATCGCATTTATTTTCAATATAATCATATTACGTATTATTTCAATTAGGTTTTCATAAATAGACCATTGAATGCATTTACTGAAGAAACTGGATACCGATTGGCAAGTTATCCAGAACCAAGATACGAAGAAAGTAAACAGCAAGTTATTTCCTTTCTCGAGACAAAAATCAGAGGAGTCGATAGTCCATCACGCTACGCATTCGATCTAATCAACCAATTGGACAGCGAATTACCAAAAATACAATCAGTATTCATTTGGGAGCAATACACTTACACCATCAATGCAGCAATCGAGAATCTCAAAATATCGCCGGAAATTTATTCAGCTTTCATTAATTTCTTGAATGCTTTTGATGCAGAAATAAGATTTAAAGATTCGCAACAAGTGAGAAAATACTTGATAAAAGAATGTGGATTTAAAGAATTGGAAAGTGACGAGAAAAAGAAAGTTGAAGAATTCGCTTTGGAGTTTCTGTTCTCTAGTGGCGTCGTCGATACTGTATTGATGGGATTAACTAAACAAATTTATGTCGATTTCGTTAGAGATTTCTTGTCAAAGAATTGATATTGTAGCACAATTATTTTCATATTTGCCATTATTACTATACAGAATATATTGATATATATTTAGCGTAAGTAAATTGAAAAGTTGAATATTGAATGCATCACCATCTTTTCCCTCTTGCATTCCTCTATACAAGCTAAAGACGACGTGCATATGTAATAACTAAGTATATTTTTACCCAAGTCACCTGTCAGGTGGATTAATATTCTATCCGAAATTAATAATTTAGGATACCTTGACCAGGGACAACTATCTGAACACGGAAAATACTTTGAACACTGCAAAATATTACAGAATAAAAGTATAGCTAACATCATATTATTGTACAAGTTCTTTGGAACGTTGATAGTGGTGATGCATCGAAATTTGGAGAAATGTTAGTCTTAGGTAATAAAAAGGGAAACGCCAACAGAAACAACCGTGTCAACCGCAACAATATGGAAAGAAGAAACTGAAAGAGGACTTCAATAAATTAATAGGAAGCAACAGAGGACAGCAAAGATCAATAGAATGGGAAAACAACTAAGAAACAACATTTCTGATGTTCCCCGATCAGAACTTAATGGAAACGGACAGTTCCTATGAGAGTCCAACAATTCCGCACCATTCCGGAAAAGAAACCCCAGAGAATTCCACCCACGCAAAGAAGACACCGAATACCCATCAACGACAATAAACGAACCAAACAGATCCAATCAACTCAACCAAAAGAACTTGGGGTCGAACACGAAGAAACTCAAATAACAGTAACGATAACGAGTAGTTACGACCGGCCGAAATGCAACAACCCGCTCAACGTGATCAAACCACTGCCAACAACTCGAGCAGCTTGGAAACAAACGCGCGAATTGGAAAAATTCGTGACAGATCGCCCACAACACTAGAAGTCAGAAATGGCGACCAAATGGCCGTCCAAGTACAAGAACAACCCCACCAACAGAAAGAAATAAAAAGCTTACCAGCAGCACCTACAGAGCTCAATCAACTTGACCTACACCGCCAGACTGCAAACAACAACCACCAGAATTTGAAATTAGGTGCGAGTTAGGAAAACTCGACAGATGATCAGCATCGTAAAGGAACGAAAGAAGTTATCAGCAACCAGTGAACAACAGAAGTGATGCAAAAAGAACAAGATAATAGTAGCGTTTTAGTGGTTTTCTTAGCCAAAACAAAAATTTTCCGCGAAATGCTACTACATTCGGTTCAGGGAATCATCCAATGCTCCCAACAAGCACCAAGCAACAGCAACTGAAACACAACAAACACCATCGCCACACAGAAGGAATCCAGAGAATTCTAATTTGTCATGAGTTGGAGAAACTTGCTATGGCAAACCTACAGTGCATCAAGAAGCAGTATTCTGTCCAGACACCGACATAAGAAAGAACTGCGAAAGTCGCGATTACAAAATGGCTGGCCGATAGTACAGGGTTGTAAAAAGAATGATAGTGAAAGGAAATCCAATAAAATAACCAAATTATTAACGTTAATGTCGTTATATCGATTAATTTTGCATATAATTTTTATTTCTCAAAGAAAATTCATCAAATTATGCCAGAAAATATGTCTATAAAAATTGTTTCATTCAATCTGTTTTTTTTGTATCATCAAAAATATTGATATAATTCAGTCAAATATTATAAAATTTATTATAAGAATAATATTTTATATTCTGTAAGTTCATTGATACAGCTATAGTATTTTAGTAATATTATACCCTATAAAAATCGAACTCCAGCTCTTATCCAAAAAATTTACGATTTTTTATTCCAGTGTGTGTGTTTTTTATTTTAATGACTTCGGAATTTTTCTGGCATCTCTGGTAATATATTGTAATTTTAAGCAGAAATTTTCTGGATGATTTCTGCAAAAAAAAAATCTAAAGATTCTGGATAATTTTCATTTATTTAAACAGAACATTTCTGGATGATTTCTGGAAAACCTTGGTTTATTTAAACAGGATAATTTCTAAATAACTTCATTTAAATAAAACTAAAGCTATCTGAAAATTTGATGGAATTGATTTAATAAAAACTATATAATAAAATAGAATAAATAAAATGAAAGAAATTAATATCATTTTTGTTATATTTAGACACATCGGAAATCCAAAGCTAAGAATCTGTATTTTAACATATATATTTTATAGATTTTTTTAACTTAATTTCAAGAATATTTCTGATTGTAAAATTTGTTACACAAACTTTTTATAATTAAAATTTAGTAATTTAAATTATAATTATAAAAATTTTGTGTAACAAACTTTATAATCAGAAATATTCTTGAAATTAAGTTTAAAAATCTATAAAATATATATGTTAAAATACAGATTAAAGCTCTGTTCGGATCGGGTTTGAGGTCAACCCGAACCGATAATTTCGGGTCGGATTCGGATCGGGTTTGATCCGAAAATCGTAAAATAGTTTTAGTATTTGGTGCCTAAGTAGAGTTGTTTGGAATGTAATTGTGTATATACCCACAAATTTTCGTTTAATTCCAATTAATATTGAACGAGAAATAACGATTTTTAGACTGACCCGAAATGTGCGTTCCGGGTCGGATCACGGATTGGACCAAACCCGGTTGGAGCACTAATACAGATTCTAAGCTTTATTTTTATCTAAATATAAAAAAATTTACTAATAAAAATAAAAATATTCAATATAGAGAGAATATTTCAATTTTTACTATATTTTACTATGCTTTTTTGGATTTCCAGTAATTTATTGTAGAATGTATATTCGATTATTCAAGAATATTTGATTAATATTTTTGTTTTTTTGGATTATTTACAATATTTTATTATTCCAATTTGTATCAGGTTTACCTTTAGTTTCTCAGTTTTAGCCATTGGTTATTGATGGGGTAAAAAGAAAAATAAACCCAACTTAAACTAAAATCTATTTATATTTTGACGACAAATTTAAATCAAAACGAATTAACCTCTTTCATTTTCTTTCTATTTCTATAAAATACAATTTCCAGCAAAAATAATGACGAGTAGTTTTTTCAATATAACTCATGAAAGTATATAACGAAATTTAAATATATATTAATCGAAAATAATGCAACGCAAAAAAAATTATTTATTAGTAAAATATGAAAAATACAGATTTCTCTTTATATAAAGTTTTTATAAATATTTTTTATTATACATCAAAATAAAATAATATTATATATATTAACATATATTTTATCAGATTTTTTAAATATTGTATATTTTAACATATATTTTATCAGATTTTTTAGATTTAATCTGACAAAGTTATTCTAATTGCATATATAATCAATCATTTTTTATGTTTTTATTATAAAAAAATTATTAACTTTATATGTATTAGAACAATTTTATCAGATTAAATCTAAAAAAATATATATTAAAATATATTATTAAAAATAAAACATATTTATTAATAAAATTAAACACTTTTATATAAAGAGAAAAACTTGCATTTTGCGTATTTTTACTATATTATTGAAAATTTTTTTCGTATTGTATTATTTTTGATTGCCACTATAGTAAAAAGATATGTAAAATAAACTTTACTAAGCAACTACACTATAATATGGTTTATTAATTATAACATCATTTTCAAAATTATTATATTTTTTTCTAATTATATCCAAAAAAATCTTGCAAAATTGATTTTTTTGTGCTATCATATTTTTAGGTTTTTTCTTCAAAACAATTCAAATATTTTCATAAAATTGAAATTTGGACTGTAAGAAGACCAAGAAAGAACACATTGTTATGACTACATTTTTAGAGATATTATATTAATTCGACTACATGTATAAAAGTATATAATAATACCAAAGTAAATTATATGCTTGATCTATTTATAAAGATAATTATAGTTGACTTATATTAGGTAAAATATTTTAGTAGATTATTATAAAAGTATTAAGACTAAAAATCTAATTATATATCTTTTTACTATACGGAACTAACTATAATTTATATAAACGTTTTTTTTCGTATATTGTATTATTTGAAATTTATTCCTTCTTAAATTTGAATGGTAAAGCATTTAAATGTAAATTAATATACCCAAGTTTAGAATATTTCAGTGCTAGTTTTCTTAAAAAAAATCAAAAATTTCAAATACCTACATGTAATGCCAGAATCAAGTAAGTTCTTAACTCGAATTGGTACGGAGAAAAGCTGGTAAACAATATAATTCAAACTGTTTACAATCTACTTTTAAAAGCGGACGTAGGTCTGTAATGATCTGGGCTTGCTTTGTAGGTAATAGGTTAGAACCATTATTGGTTGTAAGAAAGGACGCATGAATTCTGATGAATATATAAAAATTCTCAAGGAATTAAAAACTACCATAGAATCTGAATGGTGTACTACTCTCGTCTTTTAGATTTGATAATAGAACTTTATATGATAAATATGATTCTATTACAAAATTACGAATACTTTTTGTCCTACTATACATTATAAATCTCCTGATAATGATATCAAGATAAAATGTATCGAAAAAAAATGAGAAATTAAATAGATATCGTGTGGTTTTCAAATTGTAGCATATGTTCGCTTTCGTTTTGACTTATTTTCGGGTGAAGGAGGTGTTACTCCAAACGACGTTTTTCGGGTTGGTGAAGATGAATACATTGGTGAATTATATTTTGTTCTTCTATCATTGTTCAGACTATGCTAACAAATTAAAAAATAAAATTTTTATCCTTTTAATGTGATTCTATAACGATATATAAAGTAATGCTTATCAGTTTCAGAAGTGTTCCATCATGAAGTTATTGCTCTTCCTGAAAGAAACTCGATATATCTCCATTCTCGTTGATCTCTGTTTTACAACACCAAGAAAATAGCAATGAATCAATGAAGTCAATAAAAAACTCCTATTAATATAATCACACCTTCGTTTGGAACATACAAACTGACACTTGTAGAGCCTAAAGATTTTAATTAATATTGATATGAGATATTAATGTGATTACACTTAAAATAAAAAAATACCTGTGTCAGTTGGAATTGAAATTAATGTTGTGGTAAAGATTCGACTGGTGTAAACTGCATTGGAGTGGATTGCTTGTTTTTTGTTCATATTCGTAGGAACGCTTTTTTGTAATTCCATCTCCTTATCGAGTTTATCTAATTTCTGCTTTTCTAGTTTATGACACTCAATAATTTCTTCATCTGTTTTAGGAGATTCTAAGAGCTGTAGTACTGAAAATGCAAAGTATTTAGTTTCTAATCTACAATATAACGGTTGTTACTTGGATCATTGATGGATCTGATAAAGTCGTAAAGTTCCTCAGCAGTTGGTCTATTTTTTGGAATAGGATTCTAACATTTTTCAATAATAAACTTGAATAATTGAGGAATGTTATTTTGTATCGTAGGTCGTACTCCGTTATAGATGTCGTACACAAGATAATGAGCATGATTTCGTTCATTGAATGGTCGTTCACATGGCAACCTCGTACGTAATCATCCCTAAACTATAAATATCTGCAGCTTTCGTGTATGGCTTTCCACTTAGTACCTCTGGACTCATATAAGGAAGTACTCCGCAAATTTTTGTATCAGATTTTTCTACATCTGCTTGTTTGGTAAGTCAAAAATCAGCACAAATTCCTCATTGTGAATCATTTTCAACCTTTTAATGATCTCGGATAAATGACTTAATTTTTGTTCCCAATTCAATTTTTGGTGGTTGAAATTCATATATTTGCGTAGATCGCTATCTTTTGCATAAACCATCACTATTGAGTATTCATTTGTAGTTGAGTTTTTAGTTATTCCAAAATAAGACAAAGTACCACTGAACTTTAGAGCAGACTGAATTTAATTCTGAAAGTTAATTATATTGTAAAACAAAAAAGAAATTATGCTTACACTTTAAAGATGTTCATTTTACCTCGTTTATAAACTCGGCTGCAATTTGTTTTGAATTGTGTAATGATTTCAACACAACATCGGCTTTTCTCTCTCGCTTAAATTTATTTTCTTCATGATCCCACTTGAAAAATGGTCCATGCAACAAATTAGCTTTATAAATTGTTCCAAAACCTCCTTTTGCAAGATATATTCAACATTGGTAAATCTTTCAAAGGGATCCATTCAAAATACTCTTCAATTTTTGCGCATTCTTTTATTAGCTTGTCAATATCTTTATTTCCTTTAGAACATTCAACATGAATTCGTTCGTAATACAGAAGACATCCCTCACAGTACTCATTGTTTTGACAGTAACCTAATTGTTTACAACTGTAACAGTTATTACTGCAATCATGAGTATTGTGAACTGAACATGCTTTGCAGTAGTGATTGGTTCGACAATAGTGACATCCACTACATTCGATGCCATTCTCTGAGTTTATTAGTGGTTTATTCAAAAAACGATGATTTACATCGTTACACTAGTAACACGAGACTTTTTACGGTTCGACATTGATTTTCCCCTTTTTTGTCACCATCCAATTAGAACCACATAACGCCCAAAATTGTTCTTTTAATGAATTACACCATAAATTACACTGTAAATTACTCAATAATTTACACTTAAATTACACTATAATTTCTGCAGTAATTTAATCTGTAATTTGTGCAGTAAATTAAACAATAATTCTCCTGTAATAATGAATTTTAAACATGTATAAAAAGATGTATCAACTTTAAACTATGTTTTTTGGTTTATTCTTTACATAATGTCCGTTAAATTAGAATATAATTTTTTCTCAGATATATATTTGAAACTTAGTTAAAAGTTATCTTGAAGAAAAAGACGTCCGTCGTAAAACATTTATTTCACGATCTTACGTATTTCAATTTTCGTAATCATAGAATCAGAAATTGGGATACAATCTAAATTAATACGTAACGGTAATGAATAAATGAAGCATAAGTAATCACAATTGAGCTGGATACGTATAAGATAGGAGGTCGTGCAGCCTTTTTGCTTCGTTATTCGTGTTGTTGCCGTAGCAACATTAAATCTTTAATTTCATAATTTCTAAATAATTTGATATGATAGTTATTAATATTTATTTTACTATACGCACCCCTAAAATAGATTACGGAAATCAAAACATAGTAAAAATTGAAATTTTCTCTAATGAAATTTGTGTTTTTATTAAATTTAATTTCAAGAATATTTGTAAAGTTGGTTACACAAACTTTTTATAATTAAAATTTAGTAAATATTTGAATTTCACGTAATTATAAAATGTTTGTGTAATCAACTTTACAAATATTCTTGAAATTAAATTTGTTAAAATACAGATTTTTAGCTTTAGTTTGATAAAAACAAAAAATATTTATTAATAAAAATGCAAATTTCATTATAATGAGAAAATTTCAATTTACTATGTTTTACTACGCTTTTTTTGGGATTTCCAGTAATTTATTGTAGTAATATGTATATTTTTAACATTATACATAAAAATTAACACCTTTCTAACATTTATTTTAACTATTTAACATCTTTTTAACATTTTCTTTGTAAATTCTAACATTTTTTTTAACACTTATTTAACGTATAATACTCACCCCTTTGATGAATCTAATATTTACACTAGATTATTACTTTGTAATTATAATAATCTTGTATATAAGAAATAGAAGAACTCTACTTTAAATAAGCCTTAGTAAAAGATCTTTATTTTAAATAAGTCATATCTTGAGTTTGTATTTTAATTTTGTTATTTTTGTTATATTGTCTAGATAGTTTTAATAAGTTCTAAATTATTTTTTGAGAATTCATCTTATCTTTATTTGTATCAATTACCATTTTGCAAAAATTGGAACAGGAGATTTTAGAGTCGTTAAAAAATGCACTTTAATTATAATTGATTCAGTTTAGCTCTATACACTTGTTATGTACTGTACTAATTCTTTAATTATAACAATTTTAGAATAGTAATAACAGTATACTTAAATAGTATAATTGAATACTATAACAAAGAAGATAGTACAGCCTTTTTCTAGTTATATCCAGAGATTTGTTTTATTCAATGTACATTATTTATATAAATCATTTTAATCACAAAATAGTTCGATTATATTATAAAGCTGATATATATATATATCTACATAATTAAATAGTATAGCTTAAAGTGCAATCAAACAAAATCAAGCATTTTTTTCAAAATATTAGAGAAAACAACTTGTGAGAATCATAAGAGTTATGATAGTAATTTTACTTCTACAATTTGCTTTTATTTCCCACTCATAGTATTTCAAATTTTATCTCTAATAATAAAATGTAATAAGCAAACATATAAAAGGCCCTCAAAAACATCAATAAAAGACAGAATTAAATTCTTCTCCAAGTAAATTATACTTGTAAATTAGACTTGTAAAATCGTCGTAATTAATTGTGGTTAGTCCTTTGATCCAGAAAAGGCATTGTTAATGATAAAAAACAGCATATTGATCGATCGTAAAGCGCTTTGTGTAGAATAGTTTTAGCTAGAAAAAGCAAATTGTTATTGTTAAAAATCGATAATTAAAACATCTATTAATAAAAGAATAAATAAAACCCAAATTTCCTTATCAATATAATGTTATTCAAGTATCTCTCTCTCCCTCTCTTTTCTCTCTTCCCCCCTTCTCATTATCAGTATAACGATATCGGCACAGGGGTTAGACATCAATAGTCACCTAGTCTAATTACCCTCTCACAACCCATTGTTGTATGGTGCATAAAATCTAAATTCATCAAACGTTTGTATTTATAAAATGTATAAACTTCTTTACTAAGAAGTAAATACAAAATTTAATCCGTGAATATGATAGAATAGGCCTTTTCTGAGCATATTCACGGATTAAATTTTGTATTTACTTCTTAGTAAAGAAGTTTATACATTTTATAAAATACAAACGTTTGATGATTTAGATTTTATGTACCATAGGTTAAATCGTTAATTACGTCTTCTACCCACAACAATACTACGTATCTCGCTTCTAATTCAACTGAACAAAAAATAAAGAATCACAAATTATGCTTTTGCTATGAAAAATCTGCAACCTCATAATTACAATATTTCTTGTGTTTTTCGATGATTTTATTTGACGTCCAAAAATAGCAGAAAACAGATACAAGTACGTACACGTATACCAAATAAATTAATGTCAATTTATTTTTGTGCAGGGCAGGGTAATAGAAAATGATTCAATTGTAATTTTATTGAACAGAGAATACATAGCGATAACGATAGGTGATAATTAAAGATAATCCAAATTTTATTTACACTAAATCGCAACGATAGTGTTTACAACAATTCGTAAATTTTCAGAAAAAGTTATAAATCTAAATTTTATAACCTGACCATTTAACAAAAACAAATCTTTGAGCTTTTGGAGCAACTGGAGTATCGAGATGTTTGCATCCAAGAGCTTTTGGATCAGCTATGACAGGTTTCTATTTTAGCAGAAAATAAGAATTAAAAATTTTTAAATTCAACAAAGACGAGGAGATTCAGAAAGAAAATATTTACCACTACAGTCGCAACATAATATGGAAGAACAGAGTTAAGTGTAGAGTCATTAACATCATATCTCCAATGTTGACGTTTATCTTCGTCGTTCTTTGGCTGGATTACTAGATATGGGTCTGACAATAATTATAAAATATTTATAAAATAAATAAACTAATTAAAGAACTAAAACCAAATTTGTTTAATATACCCACCATTGATTACACCTTTATAGAACGGATAGAGAAACATCATTAGTCACTATTGACCAAATTTCAATATTCTTATAATTCAATTTCGAATACTTACAATCACTCAGAGACAATGCAAAACCATTTAGTTTGGAAACAATATGGTTGCCATCAATTCTCCACAATTGATTGAGAGGATTCTATTTGTAGAATAGTTATATAAGAAACAATTGACTACATGAATTTTTAGATTTCTTTAGCTTACGCTTAGATTATTGATAGTATATAAGATCACAGGTGTTCCTGGAGCGGTATTAGATCCAGTTACATCTAAAACATGTCCAGTATCTGAAACAATCCAATACAAATCGTTCATATTGAAATATAGAAAGATATCAAGTGAATTTCAATTTGAATGAGTTGCAATTCTCTGTCTGTATTCTTTTTATTTGTTTTTTCAATTGATTTAGGAACTCTTACTATATATAGTCGCACGCAAAAGATGCGGGCCGTCGCGAGAGATGTGGGCCATCGCGGGAGCAAGGTTTTACACGGCTAATTCTTAAAATAAACTTCTGTACAGGTGTCTCAACTCGCTTATGAAATTCGTCGCGGGAGCGAGATTTTACACGGTTAATTCTTAAAATGTTACTGTGTCTTTAGAAAATCAAGTTAGAAATTCGTTATTTCATGTAGTTCTCAATTCACTAGTTAAATTACAATTCGTTTTTCTTGTTATATTATTAAACGAGATTTGATACACACGTGGGTCGCCGCGCGGGAACAAGAATTTACACAATTAATTCTTAAAACGTATGTGTCTTTTAGAAAATCAAGTTATCATGTAATGTTTCGGCTATCACAGGATAAGTACGCCTTCACTAATTAAAAAATATTGCGTGATCAATAACGAATCTCAAATCAAGGGTACGTTACATTGAATTGGGTAGTTACCATGACTTATGTTATTTCATGTTTTAACGTTAATGTCTGCAACTCTACTTATGAAGTATAATTGGTCATTTTGCCAAATTAATTTTTCAGGTAAGACAACAATAATGAATCAACTCAAACCTTGTGTGTGTGTATGTGCGGTAAATCTAAATGGGATTTCATTGTAGCTAAATTCAATCGCGGTAAATCTAAAATGGGATATCATTGTGATGATTGTATAATGTAAACGTAACGGTTGAGCTTGTTTTCAAAATTCATTCTATAATGCTTGTAATTAAGAACAAGTTAATTGTTCGATAATAACACGTTTAATGGTTGGTGTAAAAATTTGTGCTCGAGTAAAATAAAGGACAATTCAAAACAGTAAACAAAAGTTTTCTTTGTTTATGATTTATTGCTTTTTATGAAAATGTAATTGTAAATTAATTCTGAATTTGACTAAATAGTAACTTTAAGCTGAAAAAAAACTAAAGAATTCCTTGATAGAAACGCCCCACTTTTACTTCATAATCTCTGTGAAACCTGATTTGTAAATGACGCAAATAAATGTCTTATCTGAAATTACTTTAAGGGTTATTTATGAAGTTACCCGCGTATTTTATAAACTTTACCGCTGTTTTCTTCATTATTGATGTATTTTTTTTCCTGTATTAAAAAAAAACACATAAAGAAGACTGACCTTCCCACTTTTCAAACTTATCGAAAACTGAATTTCACTTATTGCACTATGACCAGTTGGTATTTTATTGCTTCAGAAACTGGACACGCGCTCGATGTTAGTGGTGCTGGAATAAACCCAGGAACACCTACAATCTTGTATCCAATTAAACAAGATGTAAGCTCAAAAATAAAATTTAAATTTAAATTATGAATTCTAAATCAATTCTATTTTAAGTTAAATATTGTTTTCAATGACTTATCATATAGGCTTCTTTGAATCAATTGTGGAAAATTGATGGCCAATACATTGTTAGCAAACAAACCGGATTCGTATTGTCGTTAAGCACTTGTAAGTGGTTCAAAATTGTTTCTATGAAATGGACTTCTGTTTATAAAAACTAATAAATTTCTTTGAATTTTTAATTAATATAAAGGTCCAATTAATGGTAAATGCTTTTTATAAATTCATGTGCCACTAAATTAGCAATAATTGTTCTAACTATAATATTCTTTTTAGGCCCAAATTTGGTAGTCAAACCAAAGGATCTCAATGATAAAGGTCAACTATGGAAATATGACAGTAATAACTTTACATTAGATAGCGCTCTTCCATTCTATGTTCTAACTGTATTGGTAAATATTAATATGATTTTTATTTTTTTGCTCTTTGATATCAAAGATTATTAATTGTTCTTTATTTTTTTTGTAAATACAGGATCCTGCTATAGTCAATCCAAAGTCTCTTGGATTGAAACATATTGAAACTCCGGTTCCTAAAACACAAAGATTTATCTTTGTTGAATCAATTCAAATGCAATGATCTAGTCTAACTATTGCTAGCTTATATTTTTGTAATAATCTATTTTCAATTTTATATAATATCTAAGAGAATAAAGATATATCATATTCAATTTTCAACGAATGCAAATTTTGAAATTAATAAAATATAATGGGTTTTGCAAAAAAAATCAAAAAAAATCTGTTTCTTTAGTTTCGGAAAACCACAGATTTAGTTATAAGATTGCTAAACCCAAAAAGGAAATAGAAGAGCAATACAAACTACTAATTATGCTAGAGACACTGAAACAACTAAAAAAAAGTAGAAAACTAAAAAGAAAAAGAAATAATAAAACAAGAAAAATTTTCAGATTAAAATCTGAAAAAACGAGGAAAATAAAGTAATTTATCCGATAAGTTTGAGACATGATATTTCACGATTCACCGATCCCATCTGGACCAAAATATACAATTCGATTCGTTTAGTTTTGACGAATCGAATGGTGGTATTTTGGTCCAGATTAAACTTTTGGATCACGAGATATCACGTTCCAAAGTTACTGGTTCAATTTTTTGCTCAAAATTAAAATGAATGTATTAATTTTAAACACACTATCATTAAATTTACCTAGTTTTGTTGAATTCAATGTCAGAAATTCTTACAAAGATGGTCTGGTAATTCATAAGATATCATGTTTCAAAATTACTAATTTTTATCTGTCTCATTATTCACGAGTCCAATCTGGATAATTCGATTCGTCAAGTCTTGACAAATCGAATGGTGCATTTTTGTCCGGATTGGATCTGTGGATGTGAGTTATCATGGCCTAAAGTTACCGGATAAATTTTTTATTTCTCCATTTTTTCAGATTTTAATCTGGAAATTTTATAACTAAACCTCTGGTTTTCCGAAACTAAAACCGGATTTTGTCTGATTATTTTTTTTATAGGGTGTAGTATATCCATCGTCCGCTAATTCCAAATATCATTCAAATGCTTTTTTCTCATCACCTGGAAACCAAGACCACATTGTCTGCTGTTTCAAGTGCAATTTAAATTATTTTTCCACATCTTTGTATTCTAATACTTTGCAAACGTTTTCAATTTGGAGAATCCAGATTTTAGCTGATTCTAGTATCCGAAATTCTGGATTTTCAGAAACTTCAGAATTCTTCTAACCGACATCACAGAATGTGAATCGATAAGTTTTATAAAACAACCTACGCAAATCATTCACATGTACCGTGTATTTTAATTCATATCGATATGTGAAAAAATATTATTCATTACGATTTTTATGCGAAATATTGCTTTATTATCTATATTAAAAACGATTAAAGTACCTTTTAACAAAATATCAAACGAAAGAAATATGGGATGGGGTCAGTAGAAAAGGGACAAATCTATTAGAGTAATTGGTCCCTTTCTACTGACTCCATCCGTATTTCTTTCCATTTCTTTATTTTATTTTATAATTTTATTTCTATCCTTATTCTCTATATCTTTCCCTTTCCTCCACAGGTTCGATTCATATATAATTCCCTTCTAGTATTGCGCTTCGAATTTCAGGCATTGATTGTTTAATGCACGTGTTTATGAGAGAGATTAAAGAATAAAATAATTTTTTATGCAATAAACAAAAATTTCGACGTATATCGATATAGCATGTAATTGTTGTATTTCCAAATCTCAAATCATTGGTGTTAGCGTTAGTTACAAGCCCCTTCAAATAATCATCGAGATCCTATGCTTCATATTACATTTTTCTCTCATAGTCTTTATTGTTAAATAATAAATTCACGTATAATTAATTATTTATTTGGACTTAGAAAATACAAATTCAACAGCATTTGAATTTGTAAAATCCTTGGCAAAGATGATATACCGACCGAACATGCATAATCATCTGTTTTCCCGGTGAATTTTACCCGACACCATTTCCTGACGTGTCATTCCTTGAAACAGATAGCATTATAAAAGGTTTTTGAATTGATGACCATCACCATTACTTCTCTATTGATTTGCTTCTTGAGGTGAATTAAAATTTATTGTGTTAAGCTTAATTTTTCTGTTCTTGAATAGCTGTTTGAATTTTTGCATTTTTGTGCTTAATTAGGATATAACGCTTATGATTCTCACAAGTCGTTTTCTCTAATATTTGAAAAAATGCTTGATTGCAATTCCCACTTTAAGCTGCACTGTTTAGGATTACGTAGATATATATATCAGCTTCATAATATAATCGAACTGTTTTGTGATCGTGATGGTCTACACAGCGGAACCTGATATAACAAACATTGGATAAAATGAATCTCTGGGTATAACTAGGGAAAAGGCTGCACTACCTCCTTTGTTATAGTATCCAATTTTACTGTGTAAGTATACGTATAACGAAGAGAAAAGGCTGCACGACCCCCTACGTTATACGTATCCCGTTTCATTATGTATTACTTCTGCTTCATTTAGTCATTACCGTTACGTATTAATTTATATTGTATCTCAATTCGATCATTTTGTATTACAGGATTACGAAAGTTGAAATATATACAGTACGTAATAATAGAGTTGTTAATGGAGCAGCATACTCCAGGTTTCTATGTAATTTCTAAATTTACTCCGCTCCGGCACCATAATTATATAAACCTAAACCACTTCATGTGACACACTTGGGCTTGGGCTATACGCAAAAAAATCAACAGATGACGGAGAGCTTCCTACTTTCAAAAGGTTTTGGGAAAATGGCTTGAACGTGTTCTACACGAGAGCACAGCTTCCGTCAAATAGTGTCGAGAATTGGGCTTTGCTCCACATAGAGTGATTTATTGTAAAAGTCCAGCAAAAACAAATGAATTCGTTATTTGTTAAGTCAAAGGAATTAATGATTCCGGTGATTTAGAATATTTCTAACGCGAAATCACTGGTTCTCCAAGGTAGTGAAAACAGATTCGAAAATATAGTATTTGGATATTGTTAGTGTTAGTTTCGTTATGACAAAAGAGAAAAAGATAACCAAGCGGATGTGAGTAAATAAATTCATAATTATTGTTTCCTCAGTCTGAAAATATATATTGACAAATCATATAATTCGTTAGTGATTAATTTAGTTAGTTAATTATGTGTAATAAAGCTTTGCAATTTATTAATAAATTTATCTGTTAATTGATTTAAAATAATGCAATTTTTTTATATAACTTTATTTATTGAAATGTCTCATAAACGTAATATACCTACTTTAAATAACGAGTTTTATTGGATAATGAACCTACTGAGAATGAGTCTGAGGATACTATAGAAGAAACATTAACAGAACATCTGCAAGCAAAGATGAAAGTGATGGTTCTGCTCCAATAAATTCACGTGAAACTTCTTAGGCTTTTTTTTTCAAGAAATTTGATGATGAAAATGAGGTTGCAAGCTTCGTTTGCTCAATTTGCAAAGCTCATTACAAACCTTCAAATACCGCAGATACACTCACCAAACATTTACATAAAAACACGACAAAAAATAATCTGCAAAATATCACAGATAGTCATAAAAGTAACCATATTTAAAACAGATAAACGATACCAATACAATTATAAATTTCATTGTTTGTTGTCAGCTTCCCTTTGCAATCGTATATAATCCTTATCATTGTTTTGCTATCATATTAAATGCATTCGATGAACGCTATCAAGTACCTTGCTGTCAAACTATAAAAAATGAAATAATGGATTGCTATGATAATATGTACAGAGAGATGACAAAAAATTAGGACGTTCGTTAAAATCTTGATACTTGAGGATAATATGGTTCTATAATAGTTAATTTTTTTATTAATATAATAACCTTTCATATGATAATTAAACTTATTCACCAAGTAAAAATTTATAATATAGTAAAATTATATAACATTTTGTACACAAATGAATATTTTATAAGAAATTTTATTCATGAACTTTGAATGAGAATTGGTTACAATGTCAAGTTTTAACATTATAAATGCTTATAATAAAAAATGTTCATCAAGTTTTGCACATTAATTTATGTGATATAATACAAAATATAAAAATCCTTTTCAAGGTCATCTATATCTTAATATAAAATAATGTATTTGCCATACTATCTTCATTTTTATTAGATATTTTCATTGACTGAAAATATATTTAAACTTTAAATATAGTGAATAACTATTAAGCTTAGCTAATGAAAATGAAGATAGTATGACAAATATATTATTTTATATTGAGATATAAATGCATTTTGAAAAGAATTTTTACATTTTGTATTATATTCTATGAATTAATATGCAAATCTTTATAAAATTTTACAAATATCTAGAATAGAAGCTTGTGAATATTTTATAAAATATTCATTTGTATACAAAAATATTATATAATTTTACTATATTATAAATTTTGATTTGATAAATAAGTTTAATTATCATATAAAAGATTATTATATTAATAAAAAATTAACTATTATAGAATTATATTATTCTCAAATATTAAGATTTTAATGATTATTCTAATTTTTTGTCACCTTTCTGTACAATTAAAAGAGCTTAAAAACTAAAAAAGTATTAATTAGATATAATATTTAGAGTTTAATTACTATACAATCATATTTTGATATGAAAGTTAACTTTGTTAATAAATAAAAAGTAAATTAAGTATTATTACTTTTTTGTATAATATACTGCTATATATATTTAACAAATTTATTATACAAATATTAAAAAAGATTAAATTACTGAAAACTTATTAGAAATCACAATGAATAATACAGTATTCATAATAATTACAGCTTGAAAACTTAAAAAATAACAGAGAAATACTGAATTTATATATTAAATATTGCTTAATATATATATTTAATATTTTTATAATATTAACTACATCTATTATATGTATAGTAAAAATATATCAATTAATTAAGTTATAAAATTCATTAAGAACAATATGCAAATTTGAAAATATTGCTAAGCTAAAATCTAATTTAAAAATTGACTTAATAATAGTAATTGAATTCAAGTTAACTCAAATCAAACTTGACTTGAATCAT